GCAAGAAAGGCGGGGAAAGAGAGCAGGGTGATACTGGGCACCAAGCCAGCAAAACACGGTATCCAAATAAGCAAAAATAATCCCAACAAGGGAAATGGAGTAAGTCCCTGTTTCTGCTGGATATGCAGAGTGCTGAGCTGTGTTCTCTAAAAGGGAAACATGAATTCTAGGAACAACTGAGGTCGGGAGTAGGAAAAATGGATGGAGAGAAACACAGTTTCCTTCTCAGAGAGACAGAAGGGAGACAGGGAGAAGTGAACCCACCCTGCTTTCCAGAGGTGTTTTCTAGAGCAAAGCCCCGAGGTAAGGTGGGAACAAAGGGGGACAAACTGTAAGACCCAGGGGAGAATTACAAGGTGGACAGGACGTGGGAGAAAACCATGACCAACCAGTGAGATTACAAGTCTGCTCCCTCAGGTAATACTGATTAAATGGGGATCAAAATCCTAGCAGGCCTAGAAGGAATGAACAGCATCTTAGGTAAGGGATGGATCAGGGCCTTTCCTTCAGGAATGGGTTAAAGATTTGGTCTCCCACCATGTGACTGATACCTAATTAGAATTTCCATCCCTGTAGCCCTCCCTAGGGGAAATACCTGGGTGGAGCACTTTGTCTTTTTTTATTATGCTGGGCTCCAGTGAAAGTCTCTATCATTTTTTTATGCTGATGGCCCAGCTTTCTTTCAATGCACTATAATAATTTCTAACTTAGCTCTCTGACATAAGAATATGAGGGACAGAGAGAGAGAGAGAGAGAAGGAGAAAGGAAAGGGCACAGAGAAGGAGGGAGAGACACAACTGACAAAATGGAAGAGCACAGAGAGGTGGAGATGAGGCAGGGAGAGGTGGAGGAGAGGGCAGGAGAGGTGGGAAGGCAGGAGAGGGAGACGCTCTGTGTGTGCAGTGTTGTGAGCAAACAGAAGTCATGAGGGTCTCTGCAAGAACCTGTGGTCCGGGAGGAAGTGTGTGAGTTTGCCAATGTGTGGCTGTATTTGTGAGTCTATGGAGGAGAAAGACAGAGAGAGAGAGAGAGAGGAGAACTGTGTGTCCTGTGCACTCCCAGGTGATGCTACACAGAGCTGGGCAGGGCTGTGAGCTGCAGGAGGGGCTGAAGGGTGGGGGAGGAAGGGTGCCTGGAGAGGGGAGGGAGAGGGAGGCTATGGCCAGCCTGAGGTGAGGGGAGCAGGGATTGGGGTGAAGGCTGAGACTCAGAGGGGCCCAGGAGTGCAGGCATCTTCCATTGGGGAGCAGGTGCAGGGACATTGGGTGTCAGCGGTTGGGGTGCTGTGGGGAGGCTACTTACAGCCTGGCCTGGGCTCCCAGCCTTCTCTACAGAGGGCCCAGGAGACACAGTGCACTGTGTGAGCAGAGCACCTCAGGGGAGAGGGTGTCAGGGTGATCTGGTGGGCAGGGGTGAGGGGCCTGTGAGTTTTCCCAGGGCTTCCTTTAGGGCTCCTTGGCTTGCCTGGTGCATATCATTTTGCATAGCTGAAGAGCTGATTTTTAAATATTGACAAATTCAGTTCTCTTTTAATTGTGGGTTAGCAGGATTTGTTTTCTTGAATAGTAAAATCTGAAAGAATATTCGAGTGCTTTTGGCAAAATGGTGGAATATTTGCATTTAATGTATGTATATCCACCCTTATATATTAAATCATGTGTAAGCTACACATAATTCCTAACACAGAGCAAATGTGTCTACAGAGTTGCTAGATTGTTTAGGAAAACCGACAAGAAAAAAATAGAAGCAGTACACAGAGTTTTTCAAAATTTTTGCTATACGAATGAATTTTCCAATTGGAAACTCTCTGATATAAATGTACACCCATACTCCAAAATATTATATTTTCAATTTTTAAATTTAATTTGTCTGATTTATATCTTTTGTGACCTTTTTCACCATACATTTATGCAAATGTATTTGCATGTACAAGTTCCTGCTTTTCTGGGGTCTTAATGTATTTATAAGGATTTTTTTTTGATTCTTCATAAAAAATATTCTTACGTCTTCTTCATATCTTATACAGCATTTTCTCCATTTTTTGGTTTATGCTTTGTTTGTATTAATAGTGTTCATGTTAGGTAAGTAAACATTTTATTTAATAAAACACAAGGCAACATTGCTAGTAAGGATTTGTCAGCAATCTTGTCGGTCATTCTCTGGTGTTGGGAAAATGCTCTCATTTGGAAAATGAATCACTGAGGGTGGCACTGACAGGACGGTAACAGGCACGGAGCACACGTATTATTAAGTCCCGGACACCCTGCTGCGGACTCCAAGCGTCAGTGGAGAAAGAGACCAGGATAACCTGGTCACAGTCCCGACAAGAGACAGGTGTGTTGGGTAGGGAGAGGGGCTCCTCAGGGAGGCAGAGAGGGCATCTGTGCAGAGGACTGAGGCTCCTGGCTGCTTCCCTTCTCCTCAGGGCTCCCGAGTCTCCCTCTCATCCCTACTCATTGGCCTTGGAAAGCCCTGAGAACGCCTTCCTCAGTGAGCAGCGATCAGGTCCAGCTATGAAAACCGTTCATTTCTTTTCAAACCCAGTGGGCCCTGCTGAGAGGATTAAACTGCAGGCTCCTGACAGTGGCTCCTGTGGCCCCAGGCAGGTGTGAGGAGGCCCGTGAGGACCTGGGTCCCTCCCTGGACAGGTGACCGAGGACGGCACCGCCTGCCTGACTCCCTCTCTCGGCCTCTTCTCCTCCAGTGGAGCCCAAGGTGACCGTGTACCCCACCAAGACCCAGGCCCTGCAGCACCACAGCCTCCTGGTGTGCTCTGTGAGTGGCTTCTACCCCGGCCACATCGAAGTCAGGTGGTTCCGGAACGGCCAGGAGCAGGAGGACGGGGTGGTGTCCACAGGCCTGATCCGGAACGGGGACTGGACCTTCCAGACCCTGGTCATGCTGGAAACAGTTCCTCGGAGCGGAGAGGTTTACGTCTGCCGGGTGGAGCACCCGAGCTGGAGCAGCCCCGTCGCCGTGGAGTGGAGTGAGTGGGAAGCCGGACCTTCTGAGCTCCTGTCCTGCACACAGGGGCTCTTCCCTTATCCCCGAGGGTCAGCCTGCCCGTCCCTTACAGAAATATGCTCTGATCTCCAGTGGGACAACTCCTAGGGGTGGAACCGGGAGAGTTTCTACAAACACTTGTGCACCTTCAGCAGGCAGGATGCCTGTCCCACGGAAGAGAAGTGTCCCTGCTTTGCACCTTCTCATGCTGTCTCTGGTCATGGTCACCCCTCGGCCCTGACCCCACACCCTTCCCTGGGCTGTGCCTGTGTTTCTGCTGCTGCTGCTCTGGGCTGTTCACTGTGATCTGGAGGAGGAGCAGTGCTGGGTCTTCCTGGCAGGAGAGGAGGCGCCCTCAGCTCTGCCTCTCATCAGCTCTGTCATCCTGGAAGGCTGCTCAGCTCACTGAGCTCCAGACCCTGCTCACATCCGGGTTATTGTGGGGCTGTGCGATTTAGGAGAATTCAGGGCATGAGCCTCACACCTACTCTATTTGCAATTTTTAAGTCTTTTTTCCCAGGAATGACCACATCTAGCTTTGAGGGCAGGAATCAGTCTTCTAGTCTTCAAATTCTGAGTCTTGGGGTCTCAAGAAGGGTTCTGATATTTGGGGGTTAAAATAATTCCTAAACTTTGCACCTTCTCTCAGGGGCACAGTCTGGACCTTCACAGAGCAAGATGCTGAGTGGAGTCGGGGGCTTTCTGCTGGGTCTGCTCTTCCTCGGGGCGGGGCTGTTCATCTACTGCAGGAATCAGAAAGGTAAGAAGCCTACTGGTGCCCCAGCCTCTCTGTACCCTTTTCTCCGGGGGAACAGACTGTTTTACTGTGAAGGATTCATGGTATTTTGGTGTTTCTGGAGGAAGCCTTTCTTACCTCAGGTTACCTTACATTTCCTGAGAGTTTAGAAAGGAATTGCTCATGGATAGTCTTTGAAACTAAGGGGCTGTGCCCTGCAGAGACAGGGACAGGTGGAGTAGCCCAAAAATCCTGGGGGTAGAGCTGAGGGTGAATAAGGAAGGACACTGAACAGGGGATTTATAGGGCAGATGCCTCCTCAGTCACATTCTCTTGGTTTGTGCTCCTTTCTGCACCTGGGCAGCCGAGGTCGTGGTGTCAGAGAAGTCTCACATGACAGATGTGACAGTGGGGATGCTGAGTGTCATGAGAGTTTTGCCTTGTGACTTTTACTTAAGTCTCTATTTCCTGTCTCTTTTCTAGGACACTCTGGACTTCAACCACAGGTAAGGTCCAGTGTCCTTGAATCTTTTAAAGAGAAGATCTGTTGTTCCAATAAGGGATGGAAAAAAGATGAACAGGAAACAAGTACATTTGCCCCTTGAGTTAAGACCAGCCTGATATAAATGATGTCACTTATGACCAAAATTGTAGTGTGAACTTGGGAACAAAGTCTTGAGTTGTGACCTGAATGCCAGCTGTGGTGATTCCAGGTGGCCTAGATTCAGATTTACCCTGTAAAGAGTTCTGGAAGGAACATGACATCATCCTTCCCTGTGTGGGTTTAGTTGAGAAATCCTGGCCCATGTCTCTCTAAGGACACTGAGTCTGCCTGTACACAGGGGAGACTGTGACGTCTGAGTAGAGGAGCCCTGGCCTTCAGTTGACCAACTTGAGTCACAACAGCTCTTGCAAAGATATTGAGTTCAGAAGTCACGGGTTTAGTGTAATGTGAAAGATTTTAGAAATAAGGTTCTGGCCAGGCAGCTGCACTAAACCTTTTTCATTCCACGTAATAAAACCCTGTGCTCTGAGGTAGCACTGGTTCAGGGAGACGTAAGAGATTTTTCTTCTCTCACTGCAATGCTGTCCTGAGCGGGGAGAGGAGCTGCATTCAGAGTCAGCTCAGGAATCACTGCTGTCCTCTGTCCCTCAGGACTCCTGAGCTAAGGGGAGGTGACAGCCCTGCAGGAGGACCGTGTCCCTGCTTCTCCAGGTCTCTTCCACGTCCAGACCGGATTCCCGCTCGGCTCTCGTTCTCCCACAGACAGAGGCCCAGGGTGCACAGGACTCTTCCTCCCTGAGGCCTTCTCTGCTCCTCGCCACCCCAAAGCCCCGGCACAGACTGCAGCCTCCCTTCATGTCTCCTGGACCCTCTGTGGTTACCGTTTACCTCCTCCACCTGCCAAACTTCCCTTAGGAGACTTTGCTTTGCCACTTTCTTTTCCTCAAATAAACATAGAGTGAAAAATCGTGTACTTCCCAATCTTGTCAGGACAAACATAGAGAATCAGACAAGAGGAAAACAGCACTGTGCACCATTGGGTGTCATTTATGTATAAGAAGTGTGTGAGAGAATCCCTATGTTAAATGAGTTGGCTCAGCCAGTTCCCAAAGTCTGCAGAGAAAAATATCAAGCTCAGCTGTATAATTATATACAATTTTTACTTTCCCTTTAAAATACATTTTAAAATAATATAGCAACTTAAAACCCAATGCCTCCAATGCAAAGTAGGTGTATAACAAGGAACACAAATGTGATCACAATTATATTCTGGGAAAGAGAAGCAAACATCCGAGCCCTTGCTCAGAGCCTTGTGTCAGGTTCTTGCACATCAGCCAGTGGGTCTGCGCATGCACCCTTCAGGATGGGTTCGTGCAGAACAGCTCCCAGGAGGCCGCGTGTCAGGGACAGCACTCGTCCTGCTAGAGAAGGAGTTTGTCTCCTGCTCTCCTGGAACAAAGAGTTTCAAGGGCAAATGAGTTTAAAAGCAAATATGTCAGAAGTGTCCTTCAGAGTGACCACCGCTTGAATGCCACTTACCCCTTGTCGTACACAGTTCTGTTTTTCTGTACCTTGAGACTCCATTATTACGTGGATTTAACCCCCCCTTATGAGTCGTTCATGCCCTGCCGATCTTCCTGTGTGAAGTGTGTGTGTGGACAGTGCTGTCCTTCCTGTTACACCGCGGGTAGCAACTGCAGGGGGACTGTGTTTCCTCAAGGAAGAAATGGTTCATCCCAATGTAGTGTGAACTGTGGTAGCAGAGTGTAACGTGCATTAAAGCGTACGACGAAAATTTCAGTCAAGACACTTTATGGTCTGCAGAGCTGGAAATCCAGTCTGTTTGTCCTGATTTTCTTTACCTTTCTGTGGCAGGGAGATGGCAGATCCCCTGGGTGTCTCCAGGGCTGCTGATTCCTGCAGCTGGGGGCGCCTGTGATGACCCTGTAATTTCACATCTCAGCCTTGTCATCCACGGCTGTTCCCAGCCCTGAGATGACAGAAGGACACCTGTGGCACCTTTAGGGTTCATGTTCTCTTAAAAACGCCTATAATGTCCAGCAGGGGAAAGTCTGTTTTCTTGGGTTCTTTTGTCCATAACATGGAAAGTTCCTCAGTTCCCAGCCAAGCCAGTTACTGATCCCTGGGAGGGTCCAGGGCTCAAGGTGACAGCTCTGACAAACCTTCCTTCAGACTCTCAGGCTGGGCCTGATGCCAACCAATACAAGGGTTGAAATCATGTGTTTTTTGAAAGAAAGAAATGATTAAAAGAATAATTTCGGTAAGGAAATGATAGTTTCGATGCAATTATTTCGTTAGTATCATTATTTCCTTAGTATTTTTAGGTAATCTCTTCATGCAGGCCACTAGATTCTTTATAGGAATCCTGAATTTTTTGTGTCTTTTCCAAAAGATGTGCTCAGTGTGAAGTTCCAGCCATTAACTCAACTACAGTGAAATAAAAGGAGTGCCAAAATGTTAGTTTTTAGAAGTAAATAGGTTGACACATAATTTTGTAGGTAAAACGCATTTACGAAGAAGTTTTTTGAAAAAGTGCATAGCAATGAAAGTGTACCTGTTAACATCTTATATCAGGTGTGGTGGCAAAGTGAAACGGCCCAGTGTGACAGCCGGTGCAGGGCTCGGTATTACAGCTCTGTATCAAAGCAACAGCAATTGGAAGCCATGAATCCAAAGTTACTGGAAAGGATGAAGAAAACCCTTTGATCGCTGGCTAGCTCAGAGCAGTGTGGCCACGCTGAATTCTGAGTGCCAGGCAGGGCTAAGGGCTGGGCCCCCTCACCAGGCGAGCACGATCTCAGAAGCAGGAGGGCAGAGCTACGGAGCCTCCACCCTGGGCACGCGTGCTCACAGAGGGGGAAGGGGCGTTTACAGAACACTCTTGTGCTTGTGAGGCAGAGGGCAGCAACAGTGAGCTAAGTCAGAGGCCCCCTCTTGAAGGAGTTTTGAATCAGAGCAAGGGCCTTACCAACATTACATACCTTTGTTTTGTTACTGACAAGTTTTTCCAGTTATCTGTGCTGGAATCCATCCATGGCACCAAGTCCTTCTCTTTCACTTTATCATCAAATCCCTGATTTTGCCCCACGGAGTCCCTTGTCACCTCCTTTTCCTTTCCTTGCCACATCTGAAGGGCTTTTCCCATCAGGTCAGAAGTCCTTGTTTGGACTCCAGTTGCCAGGCTCTGATCTGACCCCCTGGATACCCGATTAGGGGGTGTTGAAGAGGAATAAAGGAAGACAGACCAATTTCAAAGTAGAAAGGGGCCTGGGAGCAGATGTGCTTCTAGTAGACACTCTCAACAGTCTGAATGGACCTGCTACTACTAGAAAACCAAAAGCTCAGGAGGGTTTTGGGCATCATTTGTAGTACAATGACTGCTAGATGTCAGTAAATGTACAACTACAGTGTAATAGGGAACAAGATTAATGGGGAACAGATCCTTCCTTCTACCTGGATGCCTGCATTTATGGATTGTACTCAGCATTCTTGCCTTAGGAATTCTGTGATTATGAGTTTTCCCACAGACAGAGAAAGAAATTTGTTTTCTTAAAAATATCTTTTCAGTTTCTAGAGCAAATTGTGTCCATCTTGGGATCTATAGGACCCATGTCACATGGCCTGGTCCCCATATTTGAGTTGGTGAAGTTTTCGTGTTAAATGTGATTCCTGTAGGCAGTGTACTGTTGGATTTTGTTTCTTTATCTATTCTGCTGCTAAACTCTCCGTGATTGCTGAGTTGAGTCCATATACATCCATAGTTATACTTGATAAACACTAACTAATTTCTGAATGAGTCTTGCCTTATTTCTCTACTACTAAATTGCTAGCTATACTTAATACATTCTTTTTATCGGACACTTTAGCAACATTGTTGGCTCTCGGATGTTTTTCTTCTAGGATGTCCTTGTGAAAGTTTTGGAGTGTTGTTCCAGTGGTCATGAATTTCTGTAGGCCTCCGTTATCACTGAAGGTCATTGTGTCTCCTTCAGTTGGAATGAGAAATTTGTACCAGGCTGGGTTGGAAATTGTTTTCTTAAAGAGCTTGAAACACTTCTTTTCATGCTGTCTTTGCCTTTAGATTTTCTTCTGAGAATTCTATTGCCATTCTGATAGGTTTCTCTTATGGGTGATATGTTGGTTTTCTCTAGCAGCTATTGAGATCCTCCTTTTCTGTTGGATTTCTTATATTTTAATTATGTTCCATGGAGTGTTTTTTTGTTTTCCTAGTTTTCTGCTATTCCTTATATGAACAGCTGTTTAAATGCCCTTTGTGCCATCTTCTGACTTTTTACTGGTTCCCATTTGTGAAACATGGCCCCATGATTATACCCAAATCAGGCCCTAAGCAGCACAGGCCGTCAAGAGTTAACCCCACAACTGGCTTGTTTACAGAAGTGAGAATGGCCAAGCCTTCCTGCTTAAGTCAAAGTGGCTTGCACCCAAATTTCACTCCCATAGTCAAAAACTACTTTACTAAAAAGGCCAGGTTCATTATTAATCACAACTTACATATGGTCTCTGTTCCTATTTCAAGAATGTTTTGTCTCTTTCTTTACAAGCCTTGCCTGCATCTGCAACATATCCACAGCACCTCCACATAGGCTCCAAGCAGCCCCTTGTCCGCGGGCTGATGAAGCTGTGAACAATAACTATCGACAGCTCTGCAGGTTCAGGGTCTTGGCTCGTCCACGCCTCTGATTGCACCAGCACTTGCCATCCTGGTTCTCCACATCTCTCCTTCAACACGATGTCTGTGTCTTTCTTTTCCTCTTGCCCTGCAGCACCAAGCGGGAGATCGGGACCTACCGCAGAGTTCTGAATATCTATTTCTCTTGTATGAGGTGTCTCTGACTCATCTACCTGCAGCTGCATCCACTGCTGACCTTCCTCGTTGGTTGAGATCTCTCACAAGGTCGACCTTGACCTCAGCCCAGCCCTCACGTCCCGACGCTGTCTTTACTTTGGTTGTTTGTGCTTCCCGCACTGCCAGTCATCGTTTCCGTCTCCTGAACTTGTGTTTGGAACTTTCTCGTGGACCCCCTTCCTTTCTATGCTGGGAACTCATGAGCTGCATCTCTTCCTTCAGCTCCACTAATGGCTTATTCTCTTCTCTGGACCCCCTGATCATTGTTTTCTTTAGTGCTGTCATCAGGTTAGTTGTAAGTGTGCAAAATTTCCCGAGAATATATTTAAACCTTTTCACCTCTTTGACAGCCTTTCTGACCTACCTAATATGTAGTTCATGGCTTTATTCCCCCAAAGCCTCTTGACCGGGTCTGGAGGAATTGCGCTTTTTGGAGGCATTCTGCTGCCTTGTCTGTTCATATTGCTGGTGTTTTCTTGTTGTGGTGTTCTGGTTTCCAAATTCATTGGACCATTGCTCTGTTACTTGGGAGTGAAGGACAGTCTTATTTATAATTTCCAGGCCATGTAGATATTGGCAGAGAGAGAAATGCAGTTGTCAGCCACTACTATGCTACACTGGCTCTTGTACCGATTCAACAACAACAGTGCCCTCAGTGTCATCTGAATTTTGACAAAACATAGGAACCATTCTTGAGCAGCCCTTGAGAAAACAACAAGCGCCATGATGTTGGAGAAGAGAATTAGGGCACCCCCATACTGATATGTAAAATTCAGACTTTAATTTCTGCTCTGTGTAGGCAGCAGTTCCAGAGCTCAAACATAAGATTCGACTCATTACTTTATTCAGTGCTGCTCCTCTGATCATTACTTCACCAAACCAGCCCTCCAAAGCAGAATGCAGGCCCAGCCCCTCCCAGAGCACCCTGCAGATTCCTACTTACCTGTCACCTCCTTAAACCCATCACCAAGGCCTGGCCATCACCTGGTCCCTGTCACTGGATTTCATTCCGTCTGAGGGAAAACTGTCCTCCTGGTGCTTGGTCAGGA